ACACAAACAAAAATGGACACAGTGTTTTAAATAAAGGTAGAATATTCATAGCATTATTTTTTTCATACGGTGGCATTCCTTTTTCTATGTTGGCTTGTATTCCTGACATGGTGAAATAAGCACATAACTACCTCAAATTAATCATCAGCTGTGTGCATCAGTGTGTCAGCTGCACACCAGTGAGCTGAGTCACATCTAATGACATCTGAAATGTTACAGTTTGAATGATGTGTCACGGTGTTTTGTATCGCTGGATGTTGTTTGAACTAGCTTAGTTCGAACCTCTGCTTCATTTTGTAGTTTTAGGATTGTTTGCTCTTCATCAGGTCTTTCAAACAAGTGTGAAAATTGTGTTTTGAATTCATTTGTCAGGCAAGGACAACAAAATCCTATTTAAAGTATACATTAGAAAAGGGAAACTGTGACACAAATTTTAGATCCATTTGTGAAAAATAGATCACTATGAATATTATCTTCTAAATAGATGGAGATAAATATTTCTTATATAGACAGTTTGGGTTTTTAAGTAAAATACACAGTTCAAACCCAGAGAAGTTGTCATCTGTATTTCACACGTTCCTGTGCAAAAGAATTGAGTCGTCAGCCTTCATTTCTTTGTGTTTTGCATAAAACGATGTAACTTTATTAGATTTTGTCACTCAATTCTGACTTATGAATCATTCGGACCATAAAAAAGCTCCTAAACCCAAGGGATGAACCAAAATTGTCAAAAAATTATAAAGATGTTTTGGCACTTTATTATTAGCTGCGTGGTACAACGAGATGTGGTTAGATTATATTTCTCCATTGAAAGGGTCAAACATGCATAAAAAGTGTAGTCAAGTTGGCAGAGTTTTCTTGAAATGACTTTCCAAAAGGTTTGCATATTTCAGGACTGGACATTTATAAGACAAAAGAAGTGCCAGTGTTAAAAACAAAGTGCAGAAGAAATATAGCATCTGTAAGACAATGTCACATCCTTCCGTTTGTGCACCAACGGAACGCTACGTTTTTCACAGAGAGCTCTGTGGGAAACACGTGCACGGTCCAAAAGATTTGAAGTTGTTTTTTTGAAGATGCTACACATCGTGAAACTGGGAACATGTTCTATGTTTATGACAGGCTGCATAAAGGTCCCATTTAAGTGTTTTTTATGAGTTGTAGGTTATACATAACTCTAAATTGCACCCAGGTGTTTGTGAGTGAATGGTTGCATGTCTCATTTGTCTCTGTGATGGATCTGTGACCTGTCCAGGGTGTGCGCTCCACCTCTCTCACAGTGAACGCTGGAGATACGTGCCAGCTCTTCAGTGAACCTGAAAAAAAAAGAAGCAGTTAGATGTCTGTTATGTCGGGACACAATATTGACGGAGTTTAGAGGCCTTGTTTGAGTTTGACCGATTAATAAGTCATTTTGAAATAGTTTGGAAAAAAATCTATATGATCACAAGATTTTTTATTTTATTTTACCTTTATTTCAACAGGTAGTCTTGTTGAGTCATGAGGACTCATTTTCAAGCGAGACCTGTTTGGGAGCAGATGGTGGGGGTTAGGGCCTTGCTCAAGGGCCCAGAGTAGGGCAAGTGAGGGTGGAGGCAGGTGTGGGTGCTTCAACTTTTCCACCTACATTTTGATGCTGTTGGTCCAGGGCAGTGGTCTGCAGCGTCTAGTCAAAGAAGCCATTTCTGCCCCTTCGTTCACTAAACACTAAACTCTGGACACGTTTATTAAATTAAACATGTCCAGAGTCACAAAATCTGCTACAACTGTGATTTTCAAATGCTGATCTGTGGACCACTTTATGATTGTGTGTGTGTGTGTGTGTTGGGGGGGGGGCTTTCAGATCAGTTGGGGTGACATTAGAAATCTTAAAATATTTAATGATTTTTAACATTTATTAATATGTTGACAGTTTAGGAACAAATAAAATACCAGATTATTGTAAAGAAACAATATAACAAAATGTTTACCAATTATTTTTAATAATAAAAATGAACTATGCAGGTCCTGTCTTGTTCCAGTGCCAAAGAAAACGCACCCATCAGTCCTCAATGACTATAGACCTGTTGCCCTGACATCCCACATCATGAAGGTCCTAGAGAGACTTCTGCTGACCCACCTGACTAGACAAACAAGCACATATCAGGACCCACTGCAGTTTGCTTATCAGCATGGACGTGGAGTTGAAGATGCCATCATACACCTGCTTCAGCAAACTCACTGTCATCTAGAAAAGGCAGACAGCACTGTGAGAGTCATGTTCTTTGATTTCTCCAGTGCATTTAACACAATCCAGCCTGATTTGCTTTGTCAGAAACTCCAGAAGACTCAGGTGGAGGCCTCAACAATCACCTGGATCAAAGACTACCTGACAAACAGACCATAGTTTGTGAGACTGAAGGGTTGTGTGTCTAACCAGGTGGTCAGTAGCTCAGGAGCACCACAGGGAACTGTACTCTCACCATTCCTTTTCACTCTGTGCACCTCAGACTTCCAGTACAAAACAGACTCCTGTCATCTGCAGAAATATTCTGATGATTCTGCAGTAGTCGGGTGTATCAGAGATGGACAAGAAGCTGAGTACAGGGAACTGGCGGACCACTTTGTAGCATGGTGTGGAAACAATCATCTCATCTTGAATGTGAACAAAACAAAGGAGATGATTGTAGATTTCAGGAGAATCAGGAACAGATCCAACCCTATTTTCATCATGGGAGAAGAAGTGGAGGTGGTGGAGAAGTATAAATACCTTGGAGTTCACCTGGACAATAGACTGGACTGGAAATGCAACAGTGGAGCGTCTACAAGAAGGGACAGAGCAGACTGTACTTCTTAAGGAAGCTGAAGTCCTTCAACGTTTGCAGCAAGATGCTGCATATCTTCTATAAGTCTGTTGTAGAGAGCGCCATCTCTTCTGCCATCATCTGCTGGGGGAGCAGCACCAGAGCAAGTGACTTAAAAAAGATCAACAAGCTCATAAAGAAGGCTGGCTGGGGACTCCTCTAGAACCTTTGGAGATGTTTGTACAAAGAAGGATTCTTCATAAAATGAAGAACATTATAGACAACCCTCAGCATCCTCTTCATCAGACTGTCATAGAACAAAGTGTCTTCAGTCAGAGGCTTCTTCAAATCCGTTGTAGGACAGACTGCTACAAGAGATCCTTCCTGCCCACAGCCATCAGCATCTAGAACAACTCATTAATGAAACCAGGATGATGAGTTACCACAACATATAATTTCCCTCTGGGATTATTAAAGTATTTTTGAATTGAATTGAATTCATGTGATTTTTTGAAATTACTGAAAAATCTATCCAACTTTTTTTAAAGCATAGTATTAAAGTGAATGTTTAACTCATTGTTTTAGTACTAGTAGTCACATATTTGTAAAATAATAATAATAATAATAATAATTAATAGTAAAATTGCAAAAATTAGCCCTTTTTTGTTGTTTGTATAACCAATGAAATTTTGTTTATGTTTGTTTTGGTCAAAGTTTGAAAGGGCCACTGCAGAGGGATCAAAGAGCCACATGTGGCTCGGCAGTCACAGTTTGCAGATCCATGGTCCAGGGAGTCGAACCAATTCAACTCAATTCAGTTTATTTATATAGCGCCAAATCACAACAAAATTGTCTCAGGGCACTATACAGAAACATTCACATACATAAAAGTTAATTAGTAAAGTTCTCTATATAAGGAATCCAGCAGACAAGTTGAATCTTGGCTTCGTTGCAGTCTCCCATCCTGAGCAAGCAAAGTGGCAACAGTGGAAAGAAAAATTCCCTTTTAACAGGAAGAAACCTCCAGCAGAACCAGGCTCAGGACAAGCGGCCATCTGCTTTGACCGGCTGGTTGAGAGGACAGGAAGGAGACAAACGAACACAGAATGGTAGGTCCAGGTGTACCCGGAAGACCAAAAATAAAAATAAAAAAAAACTACACATGTTAAGGATAGAAAAAATAATTACAAATACAAAACAGGTTGAGCAGATTAAGTAAAGACAGTAGCAGAGTGAAAAGTGTGGTCAGTTTGTCCTCCAGCAGTCTAAGCCTATAGCAGCATAACTAAGGGACAGCTCAGGAAACCCAAGCCGACCCTAACTATAGGATTTATCACAAAGAAAAGTCTTCAGCCCAGTCTTAAAACTGGACAATGTGTCAGCCTCACAGACAGAGAATGGAAGTTGGTTCCACAAGAGAGGAGCCTGACAACTAAAAGATCTGCCTCCCGTTCTGTTTTTGTAAATTCTAGGAACCACAAGTAAACCTGCAGTCTGAGAGCGAAGTGCTCTGTTAGGAAAATATGGAACAATACGATCTGTAATATAAGATGGAGCTAGGTTGTTGAGAGCTTTGTAGGTTAGAAGTAAGATTTTGAATTCTATTCTGGATTTGACAGGGAGCCAATGGAGAGAAGCTAAAACTGGAGAAATATGATCTCTCCCACTAACTCCAGTTAAGACTCTGGCAGCAGCGTTTTGGATCAACTGAAGACGTTTTAAAGAAGTATTTGGACACCCAGATAATAAACCATTACAATAGTCCAGTCTAGACATTTTGTAAACCAGTGACCTTCTAATCGCAGGCCCACCTTCTCTAACCGCTGTGCCACACTTTTTCTAGAGATCTTGGGGAACTTTTACTAAAAAGTCTAAGATTACAAGAAATATCTGGCCCTTTGGAAACCAACTATAAAGAAAATATTACAGACAAGATTAACAAAAGTAATTAAATGATTGGTTCTGTAAAACTCTAAGTTAAAGCTTTTAAAAAGGAAATAAAACGGTATGTGTCGCCCTCACATGGTGGAAATCTGAACTGCAGTGTCCTGGTTGTTTTTACACAACTCTAAAACTGAAACAGGCATTTTTTATTTAAAGCACAGACTAGATTTTTCACTTTCTCCTGTCTTTCTGTAGAAAACTGACATCATTCAAGTATCTTGGAGTAAAACTGAACTTTCACTGGCAAAAAATTTAAAAAAATTGCAGACAGCCTTAACATTTGTAGTCTTTAATTTCCGAATCAATGTACAAGGACATTCCCATGGATTAGCACTTCTTTTTACAATAAGTACCACGTTACAGCACCTACATATTATTTACACACTTACACAAGATTGTATCACAAAACGGTGTGATATTAGCAAAAACAAAGAGTTTTGCTGAACTAACACACTCCATAACCCATGAGCTGGATAAACAAAATATAATCTCACAGCCACCGGCCCCTTCTAAATTTAAAGCTGAAAATACACTGAACGATGGCAATGCATGAGTCTAGGATCATTTTAATAGGTCAAGTGTAAACATTAAGCAGATCAAATGCAGGTTTTCAAACACTCGGTTTGCATCGCTATCAAGAACAGTGCTGTATTTGAAGGCTGAAAAGAAAATGTGCTCGTCTGTAGATTTGTAAACTTGATATAACAGCACTAGTATTTTATTGTAAAGGTAAGTAAATAAAAGTGAGGTTAATAAAGTTTGGAACAAATCCATCCCATAATCTCACACACACACACGCACGCGCACACACGGTTGCATCACAACCAGAGATACTGTTGCAGCTTTCTCAAAGGCGAAGACATTTAGTGGCAGTTTTGCTGTGAGATATGCAAACGCACAACAGCAGCAGAATAAGATCCACGTGTTCAGATGCGTGAAGTTAAGCCAAACATCAGGAGTTCAAATTTTAGTCCAATCTGGTTTGGCCTGCACACCAGAAATTGTTATGCACGCTTAAAGAAAGGGGGAGGAAAACTGCAAACAGTGGGCATGAGAGCACAAAAAATTGAAACAAATAAAGCTAAATTCTTTACTTCGAAATTTAAGGTTTAAAATGTGTGGTGTAATTAAGGGGAAACAAAATTAAAATTAAACAAAGCTTTAACATGCAAAGAAAGAGCAACATGGTTCCTATTGAGAAAAAATGGCAGTGATAAAGAAGGGGCTAAATATGCAGGCTGATAACATTCAAAAGCTTTCCTTTATTTGTAACATTGCAACTAAAACAGGAAGATGTTTAAATGGTTGGCCAAGGCATCAGTCCTCGTCACCTGTCCAGTCGGCCACCGAGGAGAAGACAGCTGAGGAGTCGCGGTTGTTCGAAAAGTTCAGAGCATCCTGTTACGTTTATGAGTGGGTGAGTCTGTGATGACGTCGCTGCAGGGCGCAGAGCCTCGCTTGCGACTGGCAGCGGGATCTAAATGAAGTGCCATCTCCTCGGCAATGAAGGTGTTAAGGTCTACGTCGTGAAGACCGTTCCTACGTCGACCAAGAGACTGGGCAGGGTGTGTTGGAGAACCAGGAGGACCAGAGCGCACAGAAATGCTGGCCATGGCACCACTAAGGCCTGAAAAGAAAAATATATAGACGAGTCACATCAAACTAAAATCATCATGGAACTTCACGTAACAGATAAGCGTCTGAGCTAACCGTGCAAGGCGATTGCCTCTCTGAAGGGCTGCAGGTCCGTCTCCACAGAGCTGTCTGACTCGGGTGGCGGTGGTCGACTTGCAGACACCATAGCAACTATGGGTGGCGCACGAGTTGTCCGCTGAGGTGGAACTTTGCCACACAGGAAACTAATAAGTTCTTCTCGTCTGATTGTTCTCCGACGTTTCTTCAACCATGCAATCACCTCTTTATTCCTGCGCTGGTGGCCTAAATGAACTCCCAGGTCATAACTCCGTTGGTGGGCTTCATTACTCTCTGCAACACAAAAGAATTGTGGTTTTTCCTCCTGAATTGTATTAAGTTGACTCAACGCATTTCTAAATCTAAACATGTTTCTATTACATACAGCAGGCATGTCACAGAAATTACAGTAAAAAGACTGAAAAATATCAACAAAGCATATTACTTGCCTTTATATAGGTTAGTGACAGCTGTAGCTGCGTTCTGAAAGGGCACCCAAAGGGAGAGGCCTTGCTGCTGACATACACGGTCTGTAAATTGCATTGAAAAGAGACAGTGAGATGAGGTCTGGAGAAAAAAAAAAAAAAAGATATTTGCTTCAAAAATAAACTATTTTTTGATCATATGTGCTTCCTTTATGAGAAATCCAAACACTCAACATGTTGGATAAATTCGAGGCAGAACTAGATTAGGGAAAAGTTATTTTCAGTCTGCATGTACTTGCTTTACAACACAAATAGTGTGAACTTGACAAAAGTAAGAACTTTGTTATACAATCTGTACTAAAATCATCCATAAAGTATAAAAGGCAAAATGTGTAGAAAAATGCCAAATTACTAACCATCAACAACAGTTCGGTTTGCTATTGAAACACAGATGATGTGGATGCACAGGCCTTGTTTTAAGTTGTTTATGTTCTTTTTTTTTTTTTAACTTGAAAATTCAGTTTTCCCTTCATACATTACAGTTTACATGCACATGGTTGTGCTAAAATCAGTAAACACAGACGGCTCATGCAAGCAAAGTTATGTTGACAAGCTGAAGTGGGAGCTTGTAAGCAGAAATCTTGACAAATGCTGTAAGGAAAAATGACATCAGCTGTCCAGGAGTATGTGAATAATACTACAAAACAATCAAGCTGCACAATCAGCCAAATAAAGCTAATACAGAACAGTTTACTCTAATCTAATGATGATTTTTGATGGCTCTCTTTTGTCCACAAGTCTTTGAAGGCTCGTTATTTTTGCACAAATTCAGCGTTTTCCACCACAACACAGATCTAAACAGAGAAATTTAATGACTGAAACATTTACGGTGTACTTTCGCCATTTTGTAGTAGTAACAATGCAATGATCAGAAATAAACAATTAAAGTAATTGAAATAAAAACGGTATTTTGTTGCAACTTTTTAATATCGACTGCAGAATGGCAACATTTGTAGTTCATTTGAACGACAACACATCTGTTGTTTTCACTCCACAGTCTCCTCCCCGAGTATCGCCATTTTGGCAGCCTAGCTAACTGTTAACTGGAAGACAACATTTGTACTGTACGTCCGACCTGATAGATCAAATGTGCTGAAAACTAACAGCACTCGCTGAGTTAGCTTGGTGTTGAAATTAAAGAACGCAAAGCTGGATTTGTGTCGAAACGTTGAGAAGTGAGGGGGCTCTGACAGCTGAGGCCACCGTGAGGGACATTCAGCGGTGTTGTCAAAAGCTCTGACACGGTGACCGGTTGGTGTTGTGTTGAGTTGTGTCCACCCTCGGCGAGATGAGTCTCCGCAGAAGCTCCGCCCCGTTCAAACGGCAAAAGAAACGCGTTTACTGCGAAGTCACCCGCGACGTCACTGCTCGGACGGGGCGGAGCTGGCGTGCAAACGAATCTCAACGGGGAAACACAAACGGGCACAACACCGGCTATTAGCGGCTGTAAGCTAGCAGGGGTCACGATATCGAGAACAGAACAATCTGTATCTGATCTCGTTTAAAAATATCCACAGTGTCATAGCGCTTATTAAACCCTGGTAACATAATACGCTTTCGAATAAATAAGTGTTTGTTAAAACATCGGCTTCAACAGTGTCCTTTGTGTCTCCGGCATACGATACCGTTAGGATTAGCTTTTATTAGCATTAGCTCAACGATTGCCTTAACTTGAACTTCGGTGTATTAGCATACCTTTGTAGAGCTGTGCTACAGCCGTGGCCGAGTTCTGAAAAAGGTGCCACAGCTTTTGCTGACTTTGTTCCGTCTCTTCTTCGCTCGGAGTGTCCTGTTCAGCTTCTGCTAAGCACTGTCGTTCCCATTTGGTGAACCAGTGCTCCGGGCCGTGCTCTTGAATTTTAGCTTCTCCTTCTTCCTTCTTTTCCTCCATAGTTAAAGTCTTTGTCTTAAATATTTTTTCCGGGCTAGTTAATTGCCTCCCTTATATTAAGAAACTACCGTTACACATCTTCCGCCACCTACTAAACAAAGAAATACAACAGCTGTTAGAGCCTCATTGTCAACACTATCCGAACTGCTAACACACGCCCTATGTTAAACATACCAAACTAAAGAACGCGGATGACAACACCTCAGAATTTCTGAAACTAGCTCCTCCCATTTTCTCACTAAACTGAAACACCATTGGCTGTAGCTTTGAGTGTGGGCGGGCCTTTATGCAACTTTCAAACATTGATTGGTCAATGTTCTTTTTTTTTTAAAGCCGTTAAAACCAAAGTTGATCCAAATGAAAGGAGTTCCTTTGTGCTATTTCTCGTTCTGTACGCTAGAGGGCATCCTGATCACTGAAATCCAGGCCCCCAAAAGGTACTGTAATAAATAAACAAACAAATAAATAAATAATTTTTTTCTGTTGAAGGTGACAACCTTCTACAGAAAAAGTTTTCATCGTATTCTTTCTCACCAAAATTGAGATATTTCAAACTACTATGCACGTTTTTTCTTTTGTCTTGTTTAAATAAGAAACAATACTTTTTTTCTTTTTTTTATATTTAACAAAATTCAAGGTACTAAGGTTAGATTATTGGGACAAATATAAAACTTTTAAATCAATGAGTAAAATTAATTATGTCCTAAATGTTGCATAATTTTAGTGTTACTGTTAATATTTCTGTAAAAATCTCTACTTTTGCCACCTGGTTATTGGAAACGTGCATGTTGTACTAAAACGTGTGCATGGGCTGGATTTTTTTTAAACTTCTTTCTTTATATAAAAGGAATAAAATCCACTTTTTTTTTTTTAAACTGTTCTTGCTTCAATAAAAATCTTATTTCAACAGCACACACACGCGTGTTAAATATATGTTAAATCGTGTTTTTATAAGACAGAAATAGTTTCTCAATTTAAGCAGCATTCTACAGGATTAACATTTTAATAATTGGAGTTGTTGTATATTTGGGTGTCCACCTGGTTTACTATTTGCACTGGAAGACTGGCAGTGAACTGGTGTACAAGAAAAGACGCTGTCTAAATATATCAGTGACAAGTGATGCCAGATGAACAAATACGTTATTTCACAGTCCAAACTAACACTGGTTAAAAGACCTTTAACACTCAAGCAATCGCCTTTTATGAAAAATCCTTTTATTTTTCATGTTTTAGTTGTTTTACAGGAGTGATGCATTTGTTTAGGTTTGGGCTGGTGTCTGCAATCTGCGGCTCTGGAGCCACATGCGGCTCTTTGGTCTCTCTGCAGCGACTCTTAAGTTTTGACCAAAACTAACATAAAACTGAAGTTTATTGGTTCTTGTACCAACAACAAGACATGGCTCGTTTTAGCAGTTTGTCGGCCATTTCTTTTGCCAACATGTGAATGATCGTACCGAGCCCTCGAGGCTCAATGAGACTAACCTGTATAAATAAAGGTTGATTGAATGAAAAGCACAAGGAGTAAAACTTGTTAACTACATCACGCTAGTAGTTTGTTAGCCACTTCGTTTAGCTCACTTCCAGTCTTACGGTGTGATTTTTTTTTTTTAGGGATGCACAATATTATCGGCGAGGTAACTGTATCGGCCAATATTAGCATTAAAGTTAAATATCGTACATTGGATATTCCATCAAAATAACTCACCAATATAAAAGATGTTGTTTTTCTATGACAACCCAGTGACAAGGATGCCTGCAGCAGCAGCAGCACAACGTGATGATGTCGCATGCACCTACCTGATCAGATCACGGCGGACGGTGTGGAAGTTTCATTTATTTATTTATTTATTTTTGAGGATGTCGGATTCCGAAGATTTTTGGATTATGTTGAGCCTCGCTACATCGTCCCCAGTCAGAGATATTTTTTCAACGTAGCCTTACCCGAGTTACAAGCAGTCGTTTCCAGCGTCATTGAGAAGTTAATAGCTGATAGCATGGGTGAGTTTTACCACAGACATTTGGACGTCGTGTTTGCCCCGTTAGCATGATTAGTCTTACGGCACAATGGATAGACAAAAGATTTGAACTTAAAAAGTCTGTCCTTCATGCACAGGAGTGCAGAGGATCTCACACTGCAGCTATAGGAACCTGGAACAAGCCTCCACAAGTGAGACAGCATCACAGGTGACTAATGCTAATAAATAATATTTAACACTTTTCATTTAATATAAGTTAAAGTGTTATGCATATCAAGGTCGTTACTGAATATATGTAACCAGCTCTTACAGCTGTTGCACAATTTTTGTAGCAAATAAGCCTAAATAAGAGGGCAATGTTCTGACAAAGGAAAGTATATTAAAAATATCGGTATTGTTATCGGTTATCGGCCAAATAAGTTTTAACATATCGGCATATCGGATATCAGTCAAAATCCAATATCGTGCATTCATTTTTTTCTTTTTTTTCTCAAGCCCACCAAATGTTTTGGCGGGAATACCGTTAAGGCAAGTTTCTGAGAAGAAATATGGTGAGTCAATAAAAATTAAAGTAAAAAATAAGTCAAAGTAAATGGAAGTATTTATTTTCATTTTAGAATTCAATTACATATCCAACAAACTGGCCTAATATTTATTATTGCTTCATAATAGGATACTTTATGAATTGTTTCCACAGTTACAAAGAAAACTCACATAAGCCTGAATATTGGCGTTTGAATGTTTATAAAATTGGTTTAAAAAATTATATATTTGTTTATTCTTTGCATAAATCCTTTTTTTTATTTGCCCTAAAATGTAAAAAAAAATCAATAAATATTAATAATTTGATACTTTAGTTTCATACCACACCTACTGGCCAAAAAAGCCCCCTCCAACAAACTTGAAGTGGGCCATGGGCCACCAGTTGATAATCAGAGTTTTAGCAGGTTTTGTAGCTCCATAGACATTTCATTTAGTGTGCAAAGGGTCAGAAATGGCTCTTTTGATCATAAAGGTTAAAGACCCCTGGTTTAGGTAATAACTTTACGTAAGCTGTGAAAAACCAGTTGCATACGCTGTACGCTGTTATCAGCAACCATTAACTTTACAGCCTTTATTGGTTCATGGGTGTAATTACTGTGTTTGATAAATTGTGGATGGGAAAGTTCAACCTCGGGCCAACTTTTGTGCCTGCTGGTGCAGGAGCTTCAGACAGAGGGAGTCCAAAGGTCAGGAGTGTAATAATCCGTTTCTATGCTCTCTCTGTCTCTCTCAGCTGTCTCTCAGTCAGTCTGTCCAGGTCTCTGCATGAGACGTTGATCTTTTTTTTTCTAACTTTAAGTTTGTATCTCGTTATTTTCCATCTTGGCTGATAACCCTGCTGTTTGAACATGGCCAAGGGGGAGCGAAGAATTTCTGACGCTGAAGAGTATTTCCAGGAGCCAGGACCAACAATCACATTTACCAAGCTGCATTACTGTGTTCGAGAAACAAAGTTCTGCCGCAAAATCGGTCCTGACAAATACATCCTCAAAGATGTAAGGTAAGGAATGGTGTCAGAGTGTGCACAGTGAGAGCATCACTGCTCTGGGATGATTTCCTTCTGTACAAATCCTCCTGTAAAACAGCTGACAGTGGGAATCTTGTGTCAGAAAGGATACATTTATTGAACACGGATTATCTTAAAGTCGTTTATTACAAACCGGATTCTAAAAAAGTTGGGACACTAAACAAATTGTGAATAAAAACTGAATGCAATGATGTGGAGATGCCAACATCTAATATTTTATTCAGAATAGAACACAAATCACAGATCTAGAGTTTAAACTGAGAGAATGTATCATTTTAAGGGAAAAGTCTGTTGTTTCCAAATTTCATGGCGTCAACAAATTTAAAAAAAGTTGGGACAAGTCCATTTTTACCACTGTGTGGCATCCCCCCCTTCTTCTTACAACACTCAGCAGACGTCTGGGGACAGAGGAGACCAGTTTCTCAAGTTTAGAAATAAATAGGAATGCTCTCCCATTCATGTCTAATACAGGCCTCTAACTGTTCAATCGTCTTGGGCCTTCTTTGTCGCACCTTCCTCTTTATGATGCACCAAATGTTCTCTATAGGTGAAAGATCTGGACTGCAGGCTGGCCATTTCAGTACCCGGATCCTTCTCCTACGTAGCCATGATGTTGTGATTGCTGCAGAATGTGGTCTGGCATTATC